TATAATCGTCGCTATACAAATTATTAAAATATATGACTTACTACATTTATCGGAATTAAATATTATTTTTCCCATTTCTCATGGCAAATGTTATTTTTGAAGTGTATGGATGTGCAAATAGAAAAAAGTTAAAACTTGACTTGTCGTATTTCTTACAATAACAGTCCTTATATTATTATTTTACCTATTTCAGTTGTAGCGTTTGGGATATTAATCCTTTCCGTATAATATATTTTACCAATATTACAAAACAAAAACATAGGACTTAGGTATTTTTTTATTATTATATCGTAAATTCAATGAATATATTGATATTTGTAATTGTATGTACACTCTCAATTAAAAGGGCAGAATTTAACTTTTAAATTTCTTAAATTTGTACAATTGTCTAATACGTCATTTCATCATATCATCATTGTTTCATAAACGTACTTAAAATTAATTTATACATTGATTAACGGTAGGTAAGACTATGTATTTATGGTACTTTGGTCATGAAATTTAAATAAAATATTGAACAAAATTATAAATAATGTATTATAGTACATTAATGAAAATCTACACTTTTAATTTAAATTGTCTGGTAATCTTTAAAATTCGACACGGCATAAACCAAAAAGGTTAAAATACGTCAAATGTATTTCACTTAAAACTTAAATGAATAAATAAATATATAAATGGCTAATTGTAGGCTGCTGACCACCGATCAAATAACTTCTCTCATATAGTTTTATATATCAAAGGGTCACCCTAGTTTTTTTCGGGAAGGAGAGGATGCTACTTGTAAACGGAATTCCGAAAGTACGCTTGTGCATGATCTATAAAAAAAAGTGACATAAAAATCTATGTAGAATTACAGAATAAACTCAAAAAATTACGTGAAGAATACGAGTATACAAAGAGATATACCAAAAGTTTTAATAGTTCTAGCATATTATAGTACAAGATATTTTTGATTTATTAATATTTTTTATTATTTACTTTAATTGACTTAAATCTAATGCCTGTGATTATTAAGAGAAACGCATTTGACATTATTTTACATTCTCGTATTTTACCTTCATCAATTTTTACTTAACGGTTTTTTCCTAAATTCAAATTGTCTACTGTATATTGAGCTATTTTCTTTCATCCGAATACAAGTGTAACCTCATTTTAAATTCTTAACAATTTTATTTCATTTTCAATCTGTATAATAACGCATTAAGCCTTTTTTAATTTTTTATTCACAATAATTTGAAAAACCGAAAAAAGATGAAAAACAAACAAATTTGTGGTGTACGATTTCATTAATTTAAGTTCTTTTAATTTTTGTCGTTTACCAGATGTTGCTTCAAATATTAAGGTTATTAGCATATTGATCATATTTTCTCAAAGATCATTTCGTATAGTTGAGGTAAAATAAAGGCATTTTTTTAAATACCTGAGTAGTTTTCTTAATAATCGAGAAAACTATAGAAAAAACGGGAACGTTTACACGGAATAATCATTTTTATATTTTTTGATTTTGTATTTTTAATGTTATTTAGCTATAAAAAACCAAAAAATATTACTTTATTAAAAAACTTGCTAAAAACCTTTTTTGTTGTATCTAGTCGAAGAATAATAAAACCATTTCTTAGTTTTATTTTCATCGTGGTTAAATTTGGATATGAAATTTCATAATAAAATCTATTTCGATATGATTTTCGCGTCTATCTATCCACAAACATAATAATATTCACCTAGGAGGTTAAAACACACAGGCACCGTAAGTGTTGTGTCACACGTTAATAAGATCGCATATATACAACATATAAATAGCTGGGTTTATTTTTATTTATATATAAATTATGGTAATGGAATAGGTTTCAGAATAAAAGTTACTTTTATCATAAATTAGAAAAAATTAATGGTTTATACACTACAAAAATATTTTTTATACCGTTAATAAAAAATACAATAAATATTACAGTATAATATACAGTAAAATACTTTTATTTGAATACTTACAACACTGTCTTTATATTATTAAAAACATATGAACATATTTTGTTAAACCCCATGGTTTCTAGAAAGTAATTTGTGTTTTTTCATAAATTAGATGGAACTGAAAGAAACAATGACGGAAAACCATATACAAACACGTTCTCAATTGGCACGGAAGTACGCAAGCAGAATGACAGTAATGTTGGGAAAGATAATAAATATGGCATAGATAGTATGGATGAAATAGACAGAACCAATTTCGACGATTTTGGTAGAAAACACCAAAAGAAATAATAAGTATGCATTATTATATAGCTTTCAGCAAAATTAAAATAATTTTACTAATCATTTCATATTGTCATTTATTAGTTTATAACACAATCATCCTTAAATAGTAATATGATCATAATATATAATTATACTATTTGATTTACATCATTGTCTTTTATTATAATATTATTATGTGTTCACATAATATATAAACCTTTATTCTATTATTAGTATACGTACCTTTTTTAGAAAAATACTATTCAGCAGGGGCGGATTTAATAATTTTTCGCCTCTATGGGAAATTAATTTTTGCCGCCCCTATCAATATACTGAATTGCTTTCTTCTGAAAACATATCTCCTTATTAACCATAGCGACAAAAGTTTTATGAACATATTCTCCGAGATGTTAACTATTATAAATAATTTGCATACATTAAAAAATCTTTAAATATTAATTAAAATCAATAAAATAATTTATAATAAAGCATAAAGTCAAAAATAGTGAGAAAAATAGATATAACTTTTCTAAAACAATACAAATACACAATTG